TATCCTGACATAGCTTGTAGGGATGCGTAGGTCAAGAGTACATATTGCGTTGGCGATGTGTGGGCCAAAGCTCTAACGGCAGAGTGACAGAAATGCGTTCTTTGTGTGTAGGTTTGTGCATCGGGATGATGTCGGTCAACGGGTGGGCGATGCCTCGGTAGTCGGTCGGTGACCCTCAATAACTCGTCGAACTACCGACGCATCGTCAGCGCATTGACCGACACCATCTCGATGTCCAAACCTTCACACCAAAAATAATCCATCATATATGCACCGCCACAACATAGTAGCACTTAGGGACGAGTGTTTCTAAGCCCGCGGGAAAGTTTGAGCAACGCGAGTCGGCAGTGCCAAACCCCCGGCAAACCTCTTTCCGACTCGTCTCAAATCTTCCCGTGGGCGGAGAAGCGGGCGTCCTGCATCCCTGATTATGAGAGCCTGCTAGCAAGCTATGCCACAGAGACTCGCCTACCTGTTATTTGTTGAGCTCTGCCCTGAGAGTACATTATCTTGAGCAGCACTTCAATCTCGTCTGCCTTTTTTCCAGGCAGGGCTATCTCTTTAGCGTCTCTCTCTACGAAATCGGACGTGAACATTTTCTCGAACACTGGGGACCACATGGACAGCGTGCTCCTATGGACGTGAAATTTGGTTCCCTCTGCAGATAGCACCAGGTCACTGAAGTGCCTTGGTTGTGAGAAGTCAGGGTCATTCATCACTTAAGCTAGTTAGAAATCAAGTGTTGTTATTGTAGAAATCAGATCGGCTCTTTGTACCTCTAATTTGGTTTTAAATACGTAACGTGTAAATGATTTCGTACCCAAGATCTGGGACTGGTGTTGATAACACGAACGCTTCTGTCTTCATTACCATTACCACCCTCCCCCATCCATCAAGCTATTCACCTACCCTCCCCCCCTTACATTATTATTAGCTGCTGCCGTTCCCTACCGATTCTAAAGCGCTCGATGTATGAAAGGTTGGATATCGGGAGACTTTATAAGACATAACAAGCTCAACAGGGAACACTCCCCGTAAGCCTCTGAGCAGGTAAGTTTTGCAATGTCAGATTACTTTGAGCAAAGGAGACAAAGGGAAAACACGTGCGAACAGACGGGCCGAGAAGTTTTGTTTCATACCGCGGTGTAACTATGGTTCTGATGAACTGACTGAAAGAAGTGTTTCTTCTATTCTGCACAATAAACGTAATCTACAGGAAATGTCTCAAGGAAAATCTTGACGTACCGCGAAACACAACAAGCAACAGATTTGAGTAGACAGCGATAGATATTCACACCAACTCTCTGATACCGCAAACAAATGCACTCACATACCGGGATTTCCATGTAAGCTGTCTGCTGCAATTGTATTAAGCAATGTAACTCACGAAAACTGATGCCACAGACGAGAAATTGAAGCAATTAGCACATTCATTTCTTGTCGCAGACAGACAGAGACTGAGCTCGTCTTGTTTGAATATAATTAGAGCCACAAATCCTATATTACATTTCTTTTTGCCGTCATGCTCTGTCAACTTCTCAGACAGGATTAAGAATCTGTCAATCAAAATTAATCTTAATAAATGAATTATGAATTAACATGCACATTACTCTCTTATTTCAAAGGGCTTCTGACTGATACTCTTTCAAAGCTGGGAATAACAGAAAAAAATGACATAGGAATGTAAAAAAATGTCACCATATAGTGAGAATGATCTGGTCTTCTAACACCCTGACATTGGTATGCATATTCTCCATATTGTACTCTTTATATTTGTTAAGGTGCTGACAAGGAGAAATTGTTCAACAATCAAGAGCTTTATTAGTTGGTGATCATTTCCTTTATTCCTGTGACCTTATTGTGTAATTCAAGGCTGATATTGTAAGGAGAAATTACTGGTTGATGCCAGTAACTTTCAGGGCGGTAGAAGGATTAAGAGTGGTGCAAGAAAGCCAGAGCTGAAAGTTCAGAAGGAGTGAGAAAATAATGAGATACAGGCAAACTTCACTGACTTCCACAGTTTAGAAGAGTTTTAAATATCATCCTTGGCCCAGATTGCCAATTCCTTGAACTGTTACTTTTGTGCAAACATTTCATTTAAAATGCACACTGCTTGTCTCCAATCTCATCTGTAATACATTTTTAATCTTACATTACAGTACATGTAAATGCTGCATTCAATCAATATGCAACTTTTAAATACAAATTCATATTTACATTCTTTCAAATGGTTATCACTATAATCTTAATTCTCATTAGTAATTCTCCCAACTTCTTGTCATACAAATTTGTATGATTTTATTCAGTAAAATTTGGTATTGGATCAACTAATAATCCCTATTTGATATTTTTCTTTTTTCTCATCACTTGTCTGATTGGTATGATTTTGATACAGTATGGAGAAATTGTATCTTGGTCACTCATGGTAGTTGAAGGGTTAAAAAAGCATGTCAGTGTGACTATAGGGTGTGTGGTTGTGTCAAAGAAATCATCAGGGACCTTAAGAAACCACGACGGCGACGCCAAGGAAGACTTCGTTTAAAAAATGAATTTCTACTCTTAGTTAGAATTTCAAAAATGGCTGCAGGAGCTTACTGTCTCATACAGCGCCACAGTTCAACTTCAGCATGACGTATAAAGTAGCCGTTGAGTTCCAAATGGAAATTAAAATAATTTGCCATCGTGGTTTCGGTTCACACACGACACAAATTTTGGCGATTTCATGTTGTTGTTTTGCATAGGATGGCTATGAAATGTACAAAGTTTCAAAATGCATGTGCTGAGCTATTGTTCTGCCAATTAGATCTCTTGTTTTTCCATGTCCTCATTGCCGTCGCCATCGTGGTTTCTTAAGGTCCCTATTATTCCCTTGTCTTTGCAAATGCCTGGTTGGCCTTAGGCAACATTCCTGTTGTATTGTTCTGTGTATAGACAATCCAAAGATCTGAGGTGTTACCAAAGCTTTTGCTTCCCTTATAGCAATTGGAAGTGAAGCTGACAACAGGGGAGGATTCTTATTCATCTTGATTCCATGATATTACATTGGTTTTCAGTAGCTATTGGACAAATTCTGGTGGTTGGATTGTGGGAGGGTCAATATCACTTCCATAGTCAAAATAGTTCTCTCTTACAGTGGATTTTGTATCTTTCTCAACATCA